CTGGTCTCAAACTCCTGACCTTAGTGTTCTACCTGCCTTAGTTTCCCAAAGTGCTGGGATTCCAGGCATGAGCCACTGCGCCCAGCCTCTACTGACAACTTAATTTCACACTCTTATGGCCTCCAGAATGTGAGAGATTAAATTTCTGTTGTTTTAAGTTATGTTAATCTGTTTTGTGTCGTTATAAAGGAATACCTGAGGCTGGATAATTTATTTAAAAAAAAAAAAAAAAAAAAAAAAAAAAAGAGATAGCCAGCCATGGTGGCTCACACCTGTAATCCCAGCACTTTGGGAGGCCGAGGCAGGTGGATCACCTGAGGTCAGGAGTTTGAGACCAGCCTGGCCAACATAGCAAAACCCCATCTCTACTAAAAGGACAAAAATTAGCCAGGCATGGTGGTGGGCGCCTGTAATCCCAGCTACTTAGGAGGCTGAGGTTGGAGAATCGCTTGAACCCAGGAGGCAGAGGTTGCAATGGGCTGAGACCACATCACTGCATTCCAGCCTGGGAAAAAAGAGCGAGACTCTGTCTCAAAAAAAAAAAAAAAAAAAAAAAAGAGAAAAGTTACTTTGGCTCATGGTTCTACAGACTGTACAGGAAGCAGGGCACTAGCATCTGCTTCTGGTGAGGCCTCAGGAAGTTTCCAGTCATGGCAGAAGGCAAAGAAGGGGGACCAGGTGTATCACATGGTGAGGGAGGGAGCAAGAGGAAGAGAGGGGAGCCCTAGACTCTTTTGGACCAGCTAGCGCTCTCATGAACAAATGAGAGGACTTACTCATTACCTCAGGGAGGGCACCAAGCCATTCATGAGGGATCCATGGCCCACACACCTCCCACTAGGCACCACCTTCAGCACTGGAGATCACATTTCAACATGAGATTAGAAGGGGACAAACGTCCAAATAATATCATAAGCCATTCAGTTTAAATTTACCACCAGTCGACCGGGTGAGGTAGCTCATGCTTGTAATCCCAGCAATTTAGGAGGCCAAGGCAGGAGGAATGCTTGAAGCCAAGCGTCTGAGATCAACCTAGACAACAAAACGAGACCCCCATCTCTACAAATTAAAATTTTTTTAAAATTAGCCAAGCATGGGGCATGAGCCTGTGGTCCCAGCTACTTGGGAGGCTGGGGCAGAAGCGTTACTAGAGCCTAGGAGTTCAAGCTTTGATCACACCATAGCACTCTAGCCTGGGCAACCGAGCAAGATTCTGTCTCTTACAAAAAGAACAACAAAAAAATTATTGCCTGTCATACTTTGTTATGGTAGCCCTAGGAAGCTAATATATCTACCCAGGATTGCAACAATTTCTTCTGTTTTCTTCTAGAAATTTTAGTTTTAGTTCTACATTTAGTCATATGACCCATTTTATGTTTATTTTTGTGTATGGTATAAAAGTCAAGGTCAGCGTTCATTTTCCCTCATACAGATATCCACTTTCGGCACCGTGAGATCAGATCTTGCTTTTTCACAAAGACTTCTTATCTAGTTGGGGACATGTCCTTCTATTGTTTGTTTTATCATATTAGGTTTTGTTAAATGCTGTTTCTGCATCTCTTCAGGTGATGATACAGTTTTTCTCCTTTATTCTGTTAATGTGGTGAATTATATTGATTGACTTTGTAATGTTAAAGTAAGTTTCCACTGGCCATGATGTATTGATGGATTCAGTTTACTAATAATTTGTTAATTTCTGCTTCCATGTTCACAAAGCATGCTGATCTATATTAGTTTTCTTGAAATGTCTCTGGTTTGGTATCAAGGTAAATTCTAGTCCTAGTGAAATGAGTTGGAAGGTACTCTTTTAGTTTGGTATTTTTTCCCTAAATGCTTGATAGAATCCATCAATGAAGACATCCCAGCCTGTATTTTCTTTGAGGGTAGGTTTTAAATACAAAATCAGTTTCTTTATTAGATTTTTTTTTTTTTTTTAAGATGGAGTCTTAATCTGTCACCCAGGCTGCAGTGCAATGGCACAATCTCAGCTCACTGCAACCTCCGCCTCCAGGGTTCAAGCGATTCTCCTGCCTCAGTCTCTGGAGCAGCAGGGCTTGCAGCCCAAGCCACCATTCCCGGCTACTTTTTGTATTTTTAGTAGAGATGGGGTTTCACCATATTGGCAGGGCTGGTCTCAAACTCCTGACCTCAAGTGATCCATTGGCTTCAGCTTCCCAAAGTCCTGGGATTACAGGCATGAGCCACTGTCCCCGGCCAGTTTCTTTGATAGAGATATTTAGGGATCTTTTGGAAGGAGTTTCGGTAGTATCATTCCAGAATGCAAAATGCAAAATATAATGGCTTTTACAAATATATTACAAATCAAAATTGAATTTTGACTTTTTGTATCGTGGCTTTTTAAAGGTATTTTTTCTACTGTAGCTTTTTTTTCCTGATATATAAATAATACATGCTGTTAAAAAAAATTTCAAAGGGGCTGGGTGCAGTGGCTCAGCACTCTGGGAGGCCAAGGCAGGCAGATCACGAGGTCAGGAGTTCGAGACCAGCCTGACCAACATGATGAAACCCCATCTCTACTAAAAATACAAAAAAAATTAGCTGGGTGTGGTGGCACACACCTGTAATCCCAGCTACTCAGGAGGCTGAAGCAGGAGAATCACTTCAACCCGGGAGGCAAAGGCTGCAGTGAGCCAAGATCGCATCACAGCACTCCAGCCTGGGCAACAGAGCGAGACTCCATCTCAAAAAAAAATTCAAAAGAATATAGAGAATAATAAGGAATGGTATTAGTCAGGATAGGCCAAATTCTGTTGACTTAATACAACAAAGGTTTATTTCTTGCTCGTGCTATATACCCATTGTGAATCTCCAGGGGCTTTGCTTCCCATGGTCACTTAAGGATCCAGGTTGAAAGGCTTCACCATCTTGTGAGCAAGACTCCGTCACAAAAAAAAAAAAAAAAAAAAATTCAAAGAATATAGAGAATAATAAGGAATGGTATTAGTCAGGATAGGCCAAATCCTGTTGACCTAATGCAACAAAGGTTTATTTCTTGCTCGTGCTATACACCCATTGTGAATCTCCAGGGGCTTTGCTTCCCACAGTCACTTAAGCACCCAGGTTGAGAGGCTTCACTATCTTGTAATGTATCATACGGATTGTATCAAATACAAACTCTTCAAGGTTTATATTTACCTTTTGGAGGGATAAAGTTTCATTATCCAAGTGGATAGTCAAGTCACAACTGTATGGGTATCAGTAATCAATGAGGTCAGTGTTATCTGGATGTTGCTTTTTTATGTTTTTGTTATTTTATTTTTTGAGACAGAGTCTCACTCTGTTGCTCAGGCTGGAGTGCAGTGGTGCAATCTCAGCTCACTGCAACCTCCCCATCCCGGTTTCAAGCAATTCTCCTGCCTCAGCCTGCTGAGTAGTTGGGATTACAGGCATCTGCCACAATGCCCAGCTAATTTTTGTATTTTTAAGAGAGACAGGTTTTCATCATGTTGACCAGGCTGTTCTTGAACTCCTGGCCTCAGGTGATCCACCTACCGTGGCCTCCCAAAGTGCTGCAATTATAGGCATGAGCCACCACACCTGGTCAGATGTTGCTTTTTCAGAAAGCACTTTCACTTACATACATTGGGTCTTCTACATTTCTGGTTGTGAGTTAAGCCATAACTGTGGCTTACTGGAGAACATGACCTTTGAAGTCAGACTTGAGGTTGAACTTTACCTAGGGAAATGTGCTTATTAACCATAAGCCTGTTTCCTCATGGGGAAAAATTATATGTACCTTTTATGACTGTTGTTAATTAGAAAAACATTATGTAAAACACCTGCTAAGGCTTATCTACCACAGGCTTTCTCCACTTATCAGGTTCACCAAATACAACTGCAGCATGAATTCCACTTTCTACACAACAGTAAGCCAGAGTGTTCATGTTAACTGTGTTTATCTCCCATCCTGTTTAACGCACATGGCTTTCTTCAACTTTTCTCAGATTGAATGAGACTGTGCAACACAACTAACACTTGAAGTTTTTTACTTTTTTTTTTTTTTTTTTTTTCCAACTCTTATGAATGTACAGAGGACTTTCCAGAAGCTACATGATGTGATATTTCAGCTGATTAAATGTGGATGTGTAGAGTGGTGGGAGAAAGTGCAGGAAAAGAAGCAGGCCCTTGGAAAGGAAGGCTTTGCATAGCTTTGCGGGGAGAGTAAGTTGAAGGCAGCTATTCTCTGACCTTGAGTTGAGACAGAGGGCAAGGAGTAGGTACAAGGAAGTGTAGGGGAATTTATCTTAAATACGCTTGTTTACTTTTGTTGCAAACCTTTGATCATTCAAGTGAGCCAGTGACTGCTCCCTGAAAGGGGGAACAATAATGTTAATTATACCCAGATTTTGTTTGCTCCAGGCTTTCAGCATTGTGTCTGTACAGAATAAAACCAAGCAGCTCCAGCTGTTCCAGGCTGCTCTCTTCGGCCACTAGTGCTGGGCAGCCCCCTAGCTGCTCTTACACCGCATACCTGTGTCTGAGTACTCCTTTCATCTGTGTTGGCCAGGGTCTTCAGGACAGACGTATAGATGAGAATTTGGCTGTCTGCTGTTAAGCCAGATACTAAAGCAAGTTGTGAAATGTGAAACAATGCCACTCTGCTCACTAATTTTTTTGTTTGGTAACTTTTCATTGAAATATTGTTATTTACGTTAGTTAACATGCCACAAGGGTCAAAGGATCCTGAAACCAAACACTTGGAGGACTGGTGCTTTATCCTGTGGGTGAAAGCTATAAAGCAAGATTTTCTTAAACAAATGTAGTATATGCATCCATCTCTCCATCTTTGGTGTGTTTTCAATCCAAGTATCCTCTTTCTTCCTTTTGTAAGGAAGATACGAAGAATGTAAGCAGTTAGTTACTGGCTTCAGTCCCACAAAAAGTTAGTTTTTCTAAGCAGTGATCTGGAACCAGTTTAACTGGACTCTGGCTATTAAGATAGCTCTTAATGATGTTTCGTTTTGTTTTCTTTCACATAGAGCTTACTCACATGGCATTTTGGCATAGCAAAATGAAATGCAAGGAACCAAAAATAACATAATTGAAGGCAGTAAACCCGAAATTAAATACAAAGATCATCAGTCCAGGAAGACCTACCGCAGAGTAAGTATGCAAATTGCCAAGAATTAATTGGTTTACAAAGAGGAAAAACAGACTGGGTCAGTGAAAAGAAATCATGGTTTCCCTGAGGCCCTGCTAATACCTCCATTTTCTGGGCCAGATCATAAAGCAAGATACTTTGAAAAGGACTTTCACATTCACTTTTCAGGTTGCATATGAGTTGATTCACAAGTAGTTTAAAGAATCATGCAGGAAAAGGACCAGATCTTAGAAATCTCTGAGTCCCTATATTTACTGTGAACACTTTTCAAAGGGAAATTCGGGTAGCTTATCAACAGATTTCTGTGTTGTCCAGGGAGTTGTTTTAAAAAACAAAATGTTGGAATTTTTAACACTTATGGTGGTTTATGGGGCAATGAGGGTAGAGTATATAAAACTGGTTTCATCTAAGAAAGCTCTGATTCATTTCCATGACCGTGGTATTCTGGAACCATTGTAAATTGGCCAAAGTCTTGTTTTCCAGTTTCTTCCTGTCACTTTTTATTGCCTCAAGTTGCCTATCTTCCCTGGTCTTATTTTTCTTCTAGTTTTATGATTCTCTTACATAATCCATGTTGGACAATGTTTTCTTTCTTCATCTTCTGAAGAGGTTCTTGGTTCATGCCTTGGTGGCTGTAGCTGATTCTCTTCCTCCTCTGTGGACCTTCCTTATCCCTTAGGAGACGCAAGCGTCCTCCTCCCTGCTTTTCTCATCTTCCAGGTGCCCCATCTGTGAGAGTCAATGATGAAATGGAAACTTGGAAATCATCCCTTGGATGTTGCCTACTTAGCTTTTCTTGCGACGGTGTCTCGATCTGGCACGCAGGCTGGAATTCAGTGGCAGGATCTTGGCTCACCACAGCCTCAACCTCCTGGGCTTAGGTGATCCTCCCACCTCTGCCTTCCAAGTAGCTGGAACTACAGGCTCCCACTACCACACCCGACTAATTTTTGTATTTTTTTTGTAGAGACTGGGTTTCACCATGTTGCCCAGGCTGGTCTTGAACTCCTGAGCTCAAGTGATCTACCCACCTTCGCCTCCCAAAGTGCTGGGATTACAGGTATGAGCCATGGCCCCCAGCCTGACTTGACTTTCCTTACTTTAGGAGTTATAAAGGTTAAAGTCATGTGACACATATGATTGTATTGTTTTATCCTAAAGTTACATTTCAGAAAAATGGGTCTTTATAAATATGAATCCACACAATTTCCTCACCCTCATTTTAAACCAATATTAGTTGTTTAAAACTAAGCCTTTTTTGTTTTTGGCACAAGGGAGACTTCTTTTGGTCTTATTCATCTTGGCTTCTTTATTCAGGCAACACCACCTCTAAGACCAATGGCATCTGTCATGTTGGCAGCTACATTTCTGTGCCCTTGTATATCCAATCTGGAATGGAACTTTTTTGGATAGGAACAAGTTAAATGGTAGTATGTTTGAATATAGGAGAAAAAAACTTGAGCGTGGGAAGCACTTGAGTCTTTTACATGAAAATAGATTTTGTATTTTATAATTGCCTTTACACATATACACATTTATTTAAGTAGATTCATTACTTGTATACCTTAATAGGTTAGTAATGGTTCAATCTGTCATCAAAACTGATAGCCCTCTCTCACAGATTTTTTATTTTTATTTTAGGCTCAGGGGTACATGTGCGTATTTGTTATATAGGTAAACTCGTATCATGGTGATTTTTTGCACAGATTATTTTGTCACCCAGGAACTAAGTCTAGTACTCAATAGTGATCTTTTCTGCTCCTCTTCCTCCTCCCACCTACCACCCTCAAGCAGACCTCAGTGTCTGTTGTTCCCTTCTGTGTGTCCATCAGTTGTCATCATTTAGCTCCCACTTATAAGCGAAAACATGCAGTATTTGGTTTTCTGTTCCTGCCGTTAGTTTGCTAAGGATGATGGCCTCCAGTTCCATCCATGTTCCTGTGAAACACGATTGCCTTTTTTATGGCTGCATAGTATTCCGTGGTATATATGTACTACATTTTCTTTATCCAGTCTGTCACTGATGGGCATTTGGATTTATTCCATGTTTTTACTGTTATCACACTGATTTCTTTACCTTCAGACAAAATTAATCATCAGTGATTGGTTTTTAGGCAAATTTAATTTTTTCAGTTTTCAGACTCAATACTCCATTTTTTTCCTTAAAATTTGAGAAACAGTATAATACTACTGTATTGATAACTTCATATGTACCTTTTAGCCTTTTTCTATGTATTTGTTATATGACACATTGCTGCATAATTTTGTAACCTGCATTTCACTTAACGTACTGTAGAAATTTATGACTTTTTTAAACATGTACCAAATACACAAGACTTAAAATTTAACAAGTTGAAGGCAGAGTGAAAACTATGAAAATGAAGTCTTCCTCCTGTCCTGAGAAACAATTTTTAAATGGCTGCATATCATAAAGATTACCATATCCAGGGTGAGTGTCCCTAATCCAAAGATCTGAAATGTTCTAAAATCCAAAACTTTTTGAGCACTGCCATGATGCTCAAATGAAAGTGATTTTGGATTTTTGGATTAGGGATGCATTCAAAATCCAAAATGCTTCTGGTTCCAAGCATTTCTGATAAGGGATACTCAACCTGTGTTTTGTTTCTTTCTTTTTTTAAGATAGGGTCTTGCCCTGTCACGCAGGCTACAGTTCAGTGGCGCAATCACGGCTCCCTGCAGCCTTGACCTACCAGGCTCAAGCAGTCCTCCCACCTCAGCCCTCAAGTGGCTGGAACCACAGGTGTGCATCACCATGCCCAGGTAATTTTTTTTGGGGGTGGGAGCGGGTAGAGGCAGCCCCCTATGTTGCTCAGGCTGGTCTCCAACTCCTGGGCTCAAGCCATCCTCCTGCCTTGGCCTCCCAAAGTGTTGGGATTTCGGGCAAGAGCCACCACACCCAGCCAACCTGTGTTGTTCTGAACCCATCTCCAGTTGTTGACATTTGTGGTTGGGTTTGTTGTCTTGTCATTTTTGAGGTTTTTTTTGTTGTTGTTTGTTGTTATTTATAAATACTGTGATTGAATAGTATTATAAGTTTGGGTCAACTCCGTTTTTTTTTAAGCATGTTTCTTGAATCTCCTTCCTTTCCTGATTTCTGCTTCTCTGACTTCCTTCATCATAATCTCGTTTTCCAGCTTTCAAATGCATTTATCACTGAAGCCTCACCTCCTGTTCCTTTGCCTTTACCTACCGCTTCCTAATGTTCTCATGTCTTCGTCCTCAGCCCCTATTCCTTCCCTGTATCCTCCTGTCTCTCCACATGCCATACCTGAAAGACCATATCCAGAAGATAAACCCTTATCTTTCCTTTACCTATGTTCCCATTATTTTCAGTTGAAACTACCTGTTTTCAGAGCTTCAGGGAAAGATTAATTTGAAGGATTCTGCAACTAAAAAGCTTTGAAATTGTGTTAAGGGGCCCCATAAGCATAGCCTCTAAATGGACAAAAAAGGGAACTGGGGTCATGTTGTCTGGAGTCAGAGTGAGGTGGGGTTAAAAGCTCTCTGTGGTGGTTCTGCATATTGCTACCAAGCTTCTATTTTAAGCATGAGTTTTGGCTGTGGTAGATAAAACCATTTCTCTCCCTGTAAGTTGTTAAAACCTGTACTTAAATATAGAAGTTAGTAATTTATACAGCTAGTGCTCGACTTACGATCACGATTGGTTCCGACAGACTGGTTGTAACACGATTTGGTCGTAAGTTGAGTAGGCTATATGCACGCGGAGATGGTAGTGCTGCCAGAAGCTGGTCTGCACTGTTGTACGCCCAGCTGGGCAACGTTTGCGCTGCCAGACACGGAGCAGTCGTGGCTAGCGATTGTGGTCATAAAGTCGAATGGTCGTAAGTTGCATAGGTCGTAAGTCGATCAATACCTGTATATAACATTTTGGTTTAAAAATCTGAGTTCTAGACCATCTGGGTCTCAAAAAAATGACCAAAGTATACACATTGATTCTTCTTATGTTCTGTATTCTGTAAGTATTATGAGACATATAACTCCTATTCATATATTTAACCACTTGGGGAAATGACTGAATTAGAATTTTTATAATAGTGGTGCCTGCTTTGTAACGTTTCAAAATAGATTACATTTAAGGTTTTCTTTTCACTTTTTTTTTTTTTTTTTTTTTGCAGGTATGGAAAATAAAAGAAGCAGTGTTTTATGTGCATTTCAGCAGGTCTTCTTGAAATTTAACTGAAAATATGACTGCTCTCTTTTCAGAGAACTGCTCTTTTCAGTACCAGTTACATCAAACAAACCAGCCCCTAGATGTTAACTGTCTGCTATTCTTGATCATACTTGGGAAAATATTACTAAATATTCTCACACTAGTAATGAGAAGAAAAAACACCTGTCAAAATTTTATGGAATATTTTTGCATTTCACTAGCATTCGTTGATCTTTTGCTTTTGGTAAACATTTCCATTTTATTGTATTTCAGGGATTTCGTACTTTTAAGCATTAGATTTACTAAATACCACATCTGCCTATTTACTGAAATTATTTCCTTAACTTACGGCTTTTTGCATTATCCAGTTTTCCTGATAGCTTGTATAGATTATTGCCTGAATTTCTCCAAAACAACCAAGTTTTCATTTAAGTGTCAAAAATTGTTTTATTTCTGTACAGTAATTTTAATTTGGATTTCAGTCCTTGCTTATGTTTTGGGAGATCCAGCCATCTACCAAAGCCTGAAGCCACAGAATGCTTATTCTCATCACTGTCCTTTTTATGTCAGCATTCAGAGTTACTGGGTATCATTTTTCATGGTGATGATTTTACTTGTAGCTTTCATAACCTCTTGGGAAGAAGTTACTACTTTGGTACAGGCTGTTAAGATGACTTCCTATATGAATGAAACTATCTTATATTTTCCTTTTTCATCCCACTCCAGTTATACTGTGGGATATAAAAAAATATTCTTATCCAAGCTCATTGTCTGTTTTCTCGGTACCTGGTTACCATTTGTACTACTTCAGGTAATCATTCTTTTATTTAAAGCACAGATTCCTGCATATATTGAGATGAATATTCCCTGGTTGTACTTTGTCAATAGTTTTCTCATTGCTACAGTGTATTGGTTTAATTGTCACAAACTTAATTTAAGAGACATTGAGTTACCTTTGGATCCATTTGTCAACTGGAAGTGCTGCTTCATTCCACTTACAATTCCTAATATTGAGCAAACTGAAAAACCTCTATCAATAGTGACTTGTTAATATTATGAAGTAAAAGTTACAACTATAATAAGGTCATAATTTTACAAACAAAGAATTCAGGACATATTAAAAAATAAACTGAACCAAAGCTTTGCCCCTTAACTTTGATACCTTTTCAGAATGTGTCTTTTGGGGCTATGATACTACTTATTAAATAGTGTTTCATTTTAAAAACAAAAGAATTCCAAGAAGTTTTTATACTTATTAAGGGACACTATATTAATTTGTTATTAACACGAAAAGTGAAATGAGTTAACATTTGGCCATACTGATGTGTTACCCCAAAAAAACTACCGGATGTAAATCTGAGATTTCACTGACCACTTTAAGGTATCAACCTAAATAAACGTTTTTATTAAATGTTCAAATGACAGCAAGAAAATAAAAACTGTTCTTAAAATGATATGGTATAAAGTTCAATGTAAGAGGAAGATTAGCTCATTTTAAATTTACCTAATTTTAAAAAGTAGATCTCTGTTCTTAATGCAAGTGTTCCTGGAAGAAGAGAGTTTTGGTTGCTCACCTTACGGAATTGGGAGTAGTGGCTAGGTCTCTTTCCATGACTCAGCAGATTCATTTTCATATTATAACTCATGTATCACATACTTGCATGTTACATCATAATCGCATTGGCAATGTATCACACGTAAAAGCAGACATTCCTCGGCACTACTGACAGACATTTGGGGTTGGTTAATTTTCTGTTGTGGGGCAGTTTAGCAACATCCCTGCCCTCCGCCCACTAGAAACAATCAATCAAAAATGTCTTCAGACATGGCCAGACCTGTCCTGGTGGATGGGCAGAGTTGCTTCATTGGCGTAAAACAGTATGACTGGCAGAATAATCTTAAGTTACTTTAGGAATTAAGCTATATAGATATTTTTATCACCATTTATAAATACTATATTACATAAATCTAAACCTAGCTTTTCCTAAATTTGTGGCTTTTATATTTATCGAAAGATATATTTTTAACATGACTCATAGATTAATATGTACATGTTTGTGTGTCCTAACAATACTTACCCTTACATATCATGCAAATTCATGCAAATATGTTTTTTGGTGTCATTTTTAAAATGCTAGTTGTGATCCACAAAATTGAATTCATGATCCACAAATAGTTTCTTTCCATTATTTGAAAAAATGTCCTATAACAAGTGCTATGGAACATGAATAATAGCAAAAAGACTTAGGAAATGTTTCCTGTGTGCCCAGTACTGTTATCATCCCCTTCTTACACATGAGGAAATTTAAACATCAAAATTAAGAAACTCACTATCATACAACTAGACACTGGGGAAGCTGGGATGCAAACCCAGAATTCTGATCCAGAGTTCTTGCTCTTTGCCACTATATTACACTGCCTTTCATTGGTGCCACCGACTGTTCTCAAAAGAATAGGTTGTTTCAGAGTCAAATGTGAAGACTGTTCTTTCTTAATTATTTTTCACCTGAAAATATCCAATGCCCATGAACATGTTAAGGCTTTATAGGGCTATAATGAATAAGTCTTTTTAATTAGTTCTACCCATCTGTAAAGACAAGTTGAAATGCTGCTGGGCAGTCAGTCAGGAATTCTTCAAGTAGCATGTAATACAAACTCACCCTGAGCCATTCTAAGAACAGGCTGGATACTGGAAACAACTTGGTAAACTACCAGGAGAATCTCTGAGTTGTTGGTTTCCATTTTGTGTGTCCACAAAGTGGGTGTTCTGGCTGCCAGCATCTCAGGGCTTTTATAATTCCAACTTAAAGCATCTCTAACTTCAAATATACAGTCCCAGGGAATGACTGTTCAACCTGACTTCAGTCATATGTCCACCTCTCTATGATCAGGGTCTGTTAACAGAAGACACGGCAGGGAAGAGAAATAACCACTATAATGGCTGGTACACTGTTAAAAAATACTTAGAGAAAACGAGAATAAAAATGACATTATTCTATAAAAACCAAATGAGAGACAAAGTTTAGGATAAGTAATCCTATGTTTCAGGGAACATCAGGGTGTGTTTAAACAGTTTAGAACATTTAAACCCGGCCCTCTTTCCTTCTGTTACTTTCTCCTCTAAATATATTGCCTTCTAGTTGTTGGCCAAATATGGAAATGAAATATGTTTAAATATATTGAACTTAGTAAAAACTTATACTCTGCAGATTTTAAAACCATTTCAAATCTCACTGAGCTTTTGTTTACACAGAGGATTCCCCATGTCTCATAAGCTTAAAGAAAAAAAATTATTGAATAGACCAGCCAAATGGAAGAGGCTTTTATTTGTAAAGAAATGAACTTACAACTGGTCTACAATATATTATTGTAATATAAACAATATAAATAAATGATCCTGTAGGCCCACTAATCTTCCATCCAGACCCACATGAAGCAATGTTAACAATATTCTATATGAAAATGTGCAGGTAACAAAGGTGCAATTACAAGCAAGTTAAGCAGCAGAGTATAAGGTGCTTTAATAGTTAATGTTGCCATCAACAAACATTTAAATGCTCAATTTACTTCACTGAATACAGACACAACAAATATGAAAATCTAAATTCATACACATGCTACTTAATATGAAAGTGCTTTCTCTTTTTTAAAAAAATACACCAAATGGACACTTTTTACATAGATCAAATGTGCTCTTACAATGCAAAATTAACCTTCATTTTCAGGTTATACATTTTAAAACTGTAGCTATCAACACCAATCTAGGAACTCTAATCCTAAGAGTGCTAAAAACTATTCCTTTTCTTGTAAAGAGGATTCTAATACAATATCCAATGTAGAGAATACATCTATATATAATCTTAACATTTGTTTTCTGTAAAGATAAAAAATGTTTTCTTTCCCCTTGGTGATCTTTGTTCATCCTGGGTGGATCATCTTTTGAGGTTTTAATAATATGAAAGTTTTATTTTAGAACAATGGGAGGAACCAAAAGGAGGAATTTAAAAAATTGGTTAACATGTGCTTGAAGTATCCAAAAAACACCAGTTTATCACAATTGGTCTTTGTTAAAATTAACAAAATTTTAATAAAAAGACAAAAAAGTATTAATTTAATAGAGGCTTGAAATGCCTGCCACCACTGTCAGCATCCACCTAGCCAACCTTTACTACAAGCACAATCCTCACTTTGAGGATAGTTTTTGGAACTTATTTTGACTTTTTCCCCTATAGGAAAAACAAAGACTGGCCAATATGGTGAAACCCCATCTCTACTAAAAACTACAAAAAATTAGCCAGGCGTGGTGGCGTGCACTTGTAATCTCAGGTACTCAGGAGGCCGAGGTGGAGAATCGCTTGAACCCGGGAGGTGGAGGTTGCAGTGAGCACTCACACCACCGCACTCCAGCCTGGGTGACAGAGCGAGACTCCGTCTCAAAACAAAACAAAAACTGAAAAAATGATTAACAGACTTTTTAATAGATATTTTCATTCTGGATCTTTATGGAGACTGTTAGTATCAACTGATGTTAATATGTAAAGCGGTGTCAACAGGAATTACAATGTGATTCACAGCATCCCAGAGTGACAAGGAATGGACCTCAACCCAATAAATGATTCTCCCATTCAATATTTACCCCCCAGATACTAACCAATTCAAGCATGGAACTGTTTTATGTTTACCAGTTCTGCATTTTAAAGGATGCCCTTTTACTACATAATATATGTGCTTTCTAGAATGTTACTTGTTCTTACATATCTTTAAAAGGTGGATATTGGTAACAGCTTAAAATACAGTTAACTTTTACTTAGTGTAATCTTTCTTAATTTAAAAACAAAATGTAAATGAACACATCTGTTCCAGTGATCTACTTTGAGATTTTTCAGTTTTAGAAAGTTGCTACACTGTTAGATGGGTGCGGTGGCTCACGCCTGTAATCCCAGCAGTTTCCGGGGCTGAAGCAGGTGAACCAGTTGAGGTCAGGAGTTCGAGAACAGCCTGGCCAACATGGTGAAACACTGTCTCTACTAAAAATACAAAAATTAGCCAGGTGTGGTGGTGGATGCCTGTAATCCCAGCTACTTAGAAGGCTGAGGCAAGAGAATCACTTGAACCTGGGAGGCAGAGTTGCAGTGAGCCAAGATTGCACCACTGCACTCTAGCCTGGGTGACAGAGCAAAACTCTGTCTCAAAAAAAAAAAAAAAAGCTGTAGTTAAAAATGTACAACATCAACACTAGCTTTTTTTTGTTCTGCCACATGCCTTGTGTACCAACAACTCTGGAACGGATTCAAGTGTCAAAATAATGCCATGAAATATGGGCTGTCACCACAGTCTCAATATGTAAGTCCTTAATGTTAAGTCTCCTTAATTTTGTAACTTAATCAGATATAGGGCCAACTGGTGTTTAGCATGTGAACTCTGTTATAAAAATGATATGATTCACTCAGACCCCTTAGATATCATCTAGCCTAACCCTTTACCCAATGCATAAAAATATTCCCTCCCAGTTTCAAGTTTATTAAGATTCCCTCTCAGTATGTTGAGCAGTAATGATTATGTCCGTATTTATTTAAGCCACAATGAGTTTTTTGAGGAAAATATTACTTATTACTAGTTCCTCAAGTCACATATACCACACATTACACATATAAGTGTTCAAATGTTTGCTAAATGAATATAAATACTTGAATGACAATATTCATATGTGTTCATATATTCAGTAGCTAACCAGTAAGGAGAATTTAGGCAAATGTCCTCATTTGCTTGTTATGTATGAATTTTCTACTTTAATTCTTAAGAGAACAAAGACTCTAGGTGACCCAAGAAATGGATGCTTATTAAGTATAAAATAAACCCTTAAAAAGGGAAAGTGAATGAAGTAAGAGCAACCCCATTACATGGCCTAGAATCATAGTTTTAGCTGGGACGTACCTTAAAGACGAATTAAACCAAAATCAACATTTGAATAGTACAGGCGCCATATGGTATATCTGGAAGCTGTTAAAAAAGCTGAGTAACTGCTCAACATGTCACACAGAGCTAACCCACTGAACTAAAACCCCAGTCACCAAACCAGTGTGTTGTATCCTCACTCATCATCTTAATTCATCTATTATTTACCACTGAAGTAGATTATTTACTGATTATTTAATACTACCCAAAACAAAAAATACTTTTAAGAGAAGCATTTTAAAGATTTAAACACTAGATACTTCTGGTTTACTTGAGGCAAGACTAAAAAATTCTAAAACAGGTTGATGTTCAACTTCACTAATGATGAGATGTCTCACCACTCTCTCATAAACACCAACTTTTTCACCACTGTCAGTTAAAGCTCCACAAAGCATGGATTTAACACTGATAATATTCCATGAAATATAAATTTTAGGCCAATGATGGTGACTATCAATCCTTAAGATGACTACTGGAGTAAACTTAAACAGGTGCTCTAAAAGTACTTGTTACCTTACTCTTTAATACCTTGCCATGTTAGTGTAGCAGTGTTTTAAGATTATACTGGTTTTTCCCAAATTAAAATTCATTCCCTACTTTGCTTCTTTTAAACAAGACATTTTGTTTTCTTTCTATGGATTCATACTGAACATCACCAGTATTACTGAGGACTAGTACTTGTAAAAAGCAGTAGAAAAAAAATATTTTTCAAAAGTATAAAGCTAGCTAGAACCTCATTATGTTGTACCTCTTCTTTAACATTTCAGATTAAAATTGTCATCTTTAAATAAAATTAAATGTCAACAAACTATAAAAGGGAAAAAATAAAACATCTGTGGAAAACATTTCCCAAAAGTTCCCACAAACATGACACTTGGAAGGGGTCTGTGCATGTGTCTGAGTAGAATGGAGGAGTGTACATTAGAAAACCTGGTCTTTGGAGCTGAAAAGGAGGGCAGGGATTCCCCTTTAATGTGTGTTTTCTAAATTGAAAGTTTAGAAAAAGCCATATTTTCTCTGGAATGTGATAGTAATAATTATATTTGTATTAATGCTTTATGACTTTCCAAAAAAGGCTTTCTCATAGTACAATTTTAAAATGGATTAGGTTCTAAAAACTAATAGGTAAAACTTTGAAAATTCTTAAAAATTTAGGAAATTCTTTTTCCAAATAAGGTAATCTAAACTTTTTATTTGAAGAAAGTTTATATAACTGCTGCGAACAAAACTATATAAGGACACATTTTATGAATTTCTAACAAAAGAGGACCTATCTTCCCAAAGAATTTTTTTTTTTTGAGATGGAGTCTCGCTCTGTCATCCAGGCTGGAGTACAGTGGCGTGATCTCGGCTCACTGCAACCTCCGTCATCTGGGTTCAAGCAATTCTCCTGTCTCAGCCTCCCAAGTAGCTAGGACTACAGATGCACGCCACCATGCCCAGCTAATTTTTATATTTTTAGTAGAGATGGGGTTTCACTATATTGGTCAGGCTGGTCTCAAACTCTTGACCTCAGATGATCCACCTGCCTCGGCCTCCCAAAGTGCTGTGATTATAGGTGTGAGCCACCACACGCAGCCCCAAATAATTATTTTTAAAGATATACAGCATAACATGTTGAAATTAAATGTTAGTAAAACTGCATATTTACTTTTCCTAATACTGTATTTGTGCTTATCTTAATTAGATCACAATCTTTGAGATGAAATAAAAATGCTCTAAGTAGATTTATAAAATACCAATATTGATGAATGTGGGTAAACAGTTCATGATCCACACTGCTGTGCACAAAAGAAGCAGAGGTAGGCTTGTGTTTACTGAAATCCAGACTAGGAAAATGAAACCTATAGCTCTTACTTTTCCCAATTGTTAGACTGAGACACAACCTAACAAATAAAATACTACCTTAAAATGCCTCTCCATAACAAGCTACAGAGGTGATTCAACTGTGGTATCTGAAAATGGAAACTGTCATTCTGGCATCTCAATTATAACAACCTTTGAATTTTTGACAAATATTCTCCAACTATAATAAAAGGTTGCCACCTTTTTCAGAAATCAAAAATCACTAACTTATATATCATTGTAGCTATTAATATCCATGCTCCTAAGCACGGAGACAGTGGGTATAGAGAGTGAAAGAATGAGTCTGATTTCCTGACATATAAAAACTATAACCTACGTATTGCTATAACTGAAATGTATTATTTTGAACTGTGGATGAAAGCTGTATCTATCCTAAATAACCTCTATCTTCTTGGGTCTGAAATGCTTTGTTCCTCCTACTTGTCTCCTCCTCTATTTCCCTATACTTCCCTCTAGAAAACCTTCCTCAGGACCCCACTTTACATATGTGGCACACAAGAAACAGACTGAGCAAACATTTTGCACAGATGGGCCAGTTTCCACTGCCCACAGGTTGCTCTGGAACATGACTGTCAGGTACCAGAAAGTCCTGCCCCAGCTACCTCCCTTCCTAAAGTTAGCCCCAATACAAAATCCTCTCTAAGGATTTTGAGACAAAGATCTCTCAAAGAAATAAGTTTTTATGCAGTTTTCTTGGAGCTAGAGGCCTCAGAGAGGTAGTGAGATGAGGCCCTTTCATGCCGTTAGCTAATGCTCAATGCCCGTAGGCTGCATGTATTCCTGCAATTCAACCAAGGTAAGAATCTTTAAACCACAAACTATAATCAGGCTGTTCTGGTTGAAAATATATCTTTAAAACATTTAAACATTGTGTCCAGTCAGTTTCATCCACTGGATATGGCTGTGAGGTCAGCATCATTCACATACATCTATAATAGTATATTCTTTCAAAATCTGTTTATACACACTTAATATAGTCATACAGCCTAAGACTACATTTCTTCCCTACCATACTTGTGCCACTGTGTTACCAAAAGCCTGAAGATGTACATAATGTAGTAAAGACATTTAATTGAACAAGTCAGTGGGAGACAGGGCACTATAACACATTTCAATTCAATCTAAGACATGTATTTGTGAAGAGGTGTCTCATTATAATTTTATACTTGATCAATGAAGATAAGCTATGCCAAAAATTATTCAAAGGCATAGTCACAATAATACTATATGTTAAACTATGTTTCATATATTCTAAGAATTTTGATATACCAGGAAACAAAAATCAACAGTGGGATATCTAATAAAAGGAAATTATTTCTAAGTAAAACATGAATAATCACTTCAAAAGTGCAGAAATGTGCTCGGTATTGAAGTGGGCTAAGCTAACAAGGATGATGGCGGCCGCCTCTGACTATTCCCATTCTCAAGCTTTTGCATTATCATTTCTTTTTTTTTTTTTTTTTTGAGACGGAGTTTTGCTCTTGTTACCCAGGCTGGAGTGCAATGGCGCGATCTCGGCTCACCGCAACCTCCGCCTCCTGGGTTCAGGCAATTCTCCTGCCTCAGCCTCCTGAGTAGCTGGGACTACAAGCACGCACCACCATGCCCAGCTGATTTTTTGTATTTTTAGTAGAGACGGGGTTTCACCATGTTGACCAGGATGGTCTCGATCTCTTGACCTTGTGATCCACCCGCCTCGGCCTCCCAAAGTGCTGGGATTACAGGCTTGAGCCACCACGCCCGGCCTGCATTATCATTTCTTTCCTCCATTCCACCTTGTCTACTCCTGGGGGACTGCTCTTAAACGGCGCCTTTTAAAAAAGTTCCGTTTAGAGCATTCAACAGCAAAATAACAGTACCATCAGGGAAATAATAATATGATAATTAAAAAGTAACAGGTTTTGAGACAACACTCTATCTCACATTATATAGACTATTCAAAGCTGCATAGCTGTGTCTTACACATGCCTACACAAGGCTTAATGAATATTAATGTCATATAAAAAACAATTTTTACAAACCAGCTCTCTTGGTTGTTTAACTTTCCTAGGAACACAAGGCTCAAAGCAAAATTTCAAACTCACGGTTTTTTATCCCAATGGGACAGAGTGCAACACTTTAAGGAAGTCAGAAAATGCAAACTTAGGTAGCAAAAGTAGGAAGAGCCTCCATGTTCCCTTTCTGTTTGTCATTCTCTCTCCCCAGTCAAAATCCTAAAACTATTAGTAGTAATATGAAAGGATATGAAAACAATTATATTCTCCCCAACTATATACTGTGCTTTAAAAACTCAGGAGAGAGGTGGATGCTCAGTGTTGCCTATATACCCATTAAATATAACTGAAGTTTTGAAATTAAGATGATTAAATCATATTGGAAGAGATAGCTGTGCTGATGGGAGAACCACCAAGTGATAGCAAAGGAGCCATTTTTAAATAAAAACTCACTTGAAAAAAGCAAGTGCAAGGCTATGTTCTGAGTTGGGACAACAGGAGATCTGGACTAAATTTAAGATTATAAGGTATTCTCCAATAGAAACTCCTCTTGTAAGCCTCTCCTGAATAATTACAACAGTGGTAGGCACAGGGGCTTTCAGTAAGTACAGAATGGCTGATATTATGGAAGAGAGTAAATAAAAGGAGAGCCTACAACACAGTTCAAAATTGATGCCTTAAAGGCCATAGGTAATATGGGAGGTAACCATTACTGATGGAGGAGTCTATCCCCAAACAATAAATGTTGTATTAATTGCGAATAATCTATGAGAAGTTTTAATTCCAGGCAAGATTTCCATTGCACCTCCCTCCCTCATACTGTGGGCTGTCACTTACTAATGCTCAGCCTGTATTTGTGTTCTGAAATTGCAAGAAGAGGGGAAAAGTCAAGCGTATGACAATTCTGTCATGATGATAAACTGCTAATAAATGAAAACTGATTATAGAGTACCTAGCTTTCCTTGAAACTTTAATCCAATGATTAAAAATGTGATAAAAAGAAATATGTAACACAGACTACAAGCTACTGTAGGTCTGGAACATGAGCCTTATATTACACATTCTAATCCTACATGTAACTATCAGTAAACATCTTTTTTTTTTAAAAACATTACTACACAAAGAATTCCACAAAGCATACATTCAAACAAGAGGCATCTAAAGATTAAAAAAATTACCCGCTGTATTTTTGTATAAAAATAATCAACATTCTCTAATGTACACAAAGCCAAAAGATAAATATAATATCTGTGATGTCTTCAGCGACATCTTTAGTCTTCTACTAGCTGAACACAATCTTTCTGAAAAGAGCAATGAAAATGACTGAAACTCACGGACTCTTTTTTTCCCCTACTTACTCAACTTCTGCCAAATATCTGTGTATGTTCCTTCAATTACTAAAATATCTCAATCATGGTAATATAAGAAAAGATTAAAACAAAACATTCATCATCTGAAATAAAATTTTTGATGTCCAGGACTATAAAGCTTTCAGGGCTTCCACAGTTTTGTTTTAGTGTCATAATTCTGTAGAACACTGTTCAGTAAAAGGTTCTGCTTTAAATTGTTTTCCTCAAACATGTACATACAAACTTACATCTGATCATTCAAGAGAAATCACTTGGTAAGTGCTTTGCAGGAAGCATGCAAAGGTTTGGTAAAGGAAGTAGGAATGTGCATTCTAGCTAGTCCCAGCATTGTTCAACATTAGAAAAAAAATCCAAAGAGCAATGACATATCTACTAAAAAACTATTTTCTTTCCAGAAAAGGCTGTACACTGGTTCATAGGTATAATCATATTATGCCTTCATCAGTGCAGAGGAGCACAGAGGTATGAAAGATAATCAGAATGAATTAGTACTTTCTGAGAATTAAATTATTTGTTATGTCAGTCCTTATTTTATAGGCCAATTTGTAGATCTTTTTTTCTTTTTCTAGCATGATTAAACTAGAAAAAAAATAATTCAACAGAATATTAATGTTATCGGAATAACACTTCCATCATATATGTTTGCTATGCTCCATTTTTAAAAAAGATCCCTTTGGGTGAAAACAATATTTATCACTCCTTCTATATCAGAGTTTCTCAACCTTGGCACTACTGACATTTTTGAATCAATAATTCTTTGTAGTGGAGGTGTGCTGTCCTGCGTGCCATAAAATATGTAGAAACATCTCTGGCTTCTACCTCCTAGATACCAGTAGTATCTAGAACCCTCCCTTGAACGCCCCGTCAAGCTGTGACAACCAAAATGTCTCTAGACTTGCCAGATGTCCCCTGGCGATCAAAACTGACCTCTATTGAAAACCACTGCTCTAAATGTACAAAAACGGAGAGGAAAACTTTCTCAGTCAAACCAAATTCTTGGTCAAGTTCGGACTAGAAACTGTTTTCACTTCCAGATCAGTATTGTTCACACTAAAACACAATTCCTTTTTTATAGATAAAGCATGTCTAAAAGACATGTTTTTTAAAGTGTACACTGATTTCATTGCATATGATTCCGTCACTGGACTACTAAATTATGCCATAACATATCTCTCATGACAACCTTTAGAAAACTAATAGGGTAAAAAAATGTATAAGAAAACCAAATCAAAACAGGAGAAATGTAAATCATTAAATTACTTTTAAAAGGATTCTTTATATTAATGATAAACATCACCTTTAAAAAAATTATCTAGTATAACACATTTCTTTGAAAAATATCATGGCCCTCTATAACAACAAGTCTTTCAGTGTTTCATGTAACCTGTAAAATTAACTTTACCAATGGTTAATTATGAAAATGTACGATGAATTATTATACCTGTAGAAGAAATGTCAGTATTTGATGCGGAGGTCCCAATGTGCTCGGCTATCCACCACAATAAGTGTCATACTCTAGACCAAGTTAGGCCTTTACCTTACAAGTTTGTATGAGAAGAGTAAAACTGCTGTTTTATCAAGGCTTCATGTTCCTGTTAAGATTCCTTCAGAGAGTTGATGCGTGCACAGATCTTCAGGGCTGGGCCTAGCTTGATATTCATTGCACTCATGAGATGGTCTTCTTTTAGCAAGAGAAGGGCCTGTCCATCAATCTCCTGTGCTCTGAATTCATCTGCGATATCCTGGCAGCCTAAAATTTGACCAGAGGAAGGAAGTTAAAATTAAATATACAACAATTGGACATTACTCCTAACAGTCACAGTTATGCTCTCACTGGGTCTGAGAATCTGAAATACAGGCTGAGAAACAAATGAAATTTATTTACGGTAGTCTTGAGTTCAGTCTTGAAGAATAGGGTATTTGCATTCTGAAAATAAGAATTAATTCAAAATCCATGTAAAGCAATTTGCATGGAAATTCTTGCTCTAAAATAACGTTATAAAAATAATTCATAAGAGGTAAAAATGTACAAAGTCTAGATGTAACATTTCCTTCACAAAAAGGACTATGCTGTTACCTCAAAGCATGCTAGTTTGGGTTAACTAGTTATACCTCATAAACTTATCTCTGTATAATATTTCCTTCACATATAGGTAAAGAGGAAACAGAAATATGTTTTTCCATTTAAATAACAATCTAGACATATTTTCTCAAATGAGTACTACTTTCATTATCGTTTGTACCTTATCCTAATTTATGACCTTCGCTTGCCAAGTGCATTTAAAATTTTTTATTATTCACTCAGGACAGATCAAATCTCTCAAGATTGTACCACTCTATTGCAAGGCTGCTGAAATCTATTACACTGCTTGACTTGTAACTTCTAGTCCAAATCTTAGTATTACTGGGCTTGTCTCCATTTTTGTTAAGAAACAATTCTCACTGAAATTATGAGCTTGCTGGTGAATTTCCCGCCACATAACCAATATGTTAGCTCTCAGTCTAAATCAGGTGCTTTAGCAGGTAACAATGCTAGTATGTACCTGAAACTCAAATGTTTTTACCGTCTACCAAATTTTCACATCCAGATTACTCAATAAACTTACCCACGAAGGGTAAAGAAACCAATAGAAAGGTAATGAATTAAGTGGCTGAGACAGGAGAGAATAAAAAAATACGGCAGCTTTCTTGAGAAACAGTAAAACTTTTAAGATGAATTTAAGAATACACATAAAAACTGAAAGCTTAAGTTTTTCTATTTTATTCAAATTAGCATTCTAAGGGAAAACACAAAGAAAAAGATAATGAAAATGAAAATAGTTACATTACACTTTTGGATGCCACAATTTTGCTAGTACTATTATCCTTTCTACCTGCAAATGTATCATCCTCTTGTATGTAAGATAATGTCTCTCTTATAATCTCAGCACAAAGTATTATAGGTACTGAATACATAATATTTGTCAATAAGGACTGAATTGGTGAATACACAATAAACAAAAGTATAATCTGCTACAGAAGAGCAATCTGTAAGAGTACTACAAACATTTTTTCCTGTGTACAGCTGTGTAGCCATTTTTTCTCCTGATCATTTCTTTTCTCATGTCCCGTTAATTGTATCTTTACTGTTTCCTACATAACAACCAGCTTTTCAATTTGTTTTAATAATTTCTCACACTTAAAAACTGACATTTCAATACTCTCTAAAAAGTTTTATGGTTTTGCTCATTTATCTTATAAAATAAACTATAGTTGAAATGGGATTACTCACCATAGAAAAGCCCCTTTTCTTTTCCCAGAGGTAGCTCTCAACAAAACTGAGGCAGACAAAACTGACTAATCTTGCATCTAGTTGTGACTTCATCCTTCTTTTTATGAAAGAACTAATGTTCTTCTCTCTTCAGTCTTACTTACAAGAACACAGGAAAGAAAAGAAGAGAGAGAAAGATAGGGTGGGACTTACTTAGATTCAGAAAACAGGAGCAATGAGAAGTAATGAGAACTGTAAGAGCTACGTTTGGGAATAGAAACAAGGAGTCCTCCATGAGGAAAATATGTAGCACATTCCTGTTCCTCTGTATTGTGAGATTCCTCTTCAAATATCCTCTTGTTGGTAGACAGTAAAGGTATTGGCAAAATAATAAAGAACAAGAAGTGTTTTGGGAAACAGTACAATCAAATAGGAATGCATTTTAGATCACAATTTTCTTAAATTAACCACAAAAAAAGTGTAGTTACATCAGTATAGAAATAAAAAAATAAAGTGACTTAGGAAAAGAAAAATTGGAAGCAAGTATGCTTCCAGAAACTCATTACAGAAAAATATATTTTAAAGACAATCTTAAACGCTCAAGGTATACTGAGATAAAGTTCTAGCTTTCTGATATTAACATCTACTTTGGCAAAATGGCTTGGATCCCAGGGATGTGTACAAAACATATACCAACTGACACACCCAGTCAGCTGAGCTAGCTTCACCTCACCAGAAGCAAGTGAAGTGCAGCTCTCAGTACGGACAAGGACCTCTGCACATGGGTCCCAACTGAACCTGCAAGCATCTGGCATCACGTCTCCAGCTAAACTCAAAACAAAACACTTTGCACAAAAATTGACCACAGTAAGACTGGTAAAAAGATATTACCTGCCACTCAATGCTACAAAAAAAAAAAAAAAAAGTCCCAATACTAATATTACAAAAACCAGTAAATAGTCATGTTTTAAGAAATGATTCCTACTTTATATGCCTACAGAAAAATCAAATCTACTGTGGATTCACAGATCAATAAACAGGATAAACTGATCTCTGCAAAAGATAGTTCATCATAGGAAGGAAGGGTTAAAGAAGATAACCTGCAGTAAATTGAAAATAATAATTGTTCCTGTAGGTAACTTTTAAATGCACAAAAAATTAGAAGGCCATAATTTTTCATTCTGATAACAGCTCTGAGATTTTGGTCTACTGCACACAAGCTCTAACATAGTCCCGAACAGGAAGTTTAACAAGATGATATACAAAGAGAAAAGAAAACTGGAGGAGTAAATATAATATGCCCTGATTAAACAGGGAAGGAAGCCTATCTCAACTGGAAAGAAACAAAATACAAGAGATTACAAAATTTACAAGTTTCTTCATTCTATGAGAAAAGCTTGGGAGTAGCCTACTCAGGGAAAATAAACAGTGCTGAATGAGAGCTAAAAGAAGCTCAAAAGGAAATTTACAAACTCCAGAGAAGCAGAAAGAAATGAACATTAAGGTATTTTCTGGTATGAGATTACCTTAAACTACAGACATTATGCAGAGAAAACTTTGAGAAAGGTGATATAACTAATCACACAAATAAGCTGCTTATTTGGCCTGTCAAAGCAGTTTGAAAACATTACCATTTCATAAGTAAAGAAGGGGTCAAATTAAGCAGACTCTAAAACAGTAGTAAGAAATTCTAAATTATATAATAGCTGTGTCCTTTTTATGATATATGTTGTCTAAATATCTGGCAACAAAATTAAGTGTCTAGATGAACTCTATAAGACAAACATTTTAAGTTATGAGCAATATTAAGTTTCATGTTTTTTGTTTAACTCAAATGAAGCAAGAATGAGACAAAGGAATCAGCCTTTTTTCTAATAAGTAGCCACATGGCAAATGGATGCTGGGGAAAATTAGCCTAAATAAAAAAAGAAGTGAAAGAAGAATCAGCAGTGTATCTGTTAATTATCTGGCCAACTATTTTCCTCAGGATGTAAACCAGCTCTCTTCTGCAAAGGAAAAGAAAAATTTCTCCCAAATGAAAACTCAGGCTCACAAACAGATCATGTGCCCCACTTGGAAGGCTGAGACTACTTCTGAAGATGACAGAATCAAAGTCCAGCCCCAGGAATCAGTATAGACTCCAAAGTTAATTCTCAAGATAGCTATACTGGTCTAAAAACTAAAATTGGTTTCATTAGATACTAAAACTACAACCAACGAAGATTCACCATCTTCTAAATACATCAAGTTTAAAGCAGATTCTAAATGCACATGGTCAGCAATTAACTCACACCTAAGTTTTCTTGGGCACATGCACATGTTTAAAAATCTTCCCATGAAGTATCTCCCCTTTAAACAATTCCATCTTTCTTTAAAAATGGTCATATTTTTTGTTTTGTTAAAAAAAAAAAAAGCATTTCTATAACAAGCTATTAAAAACTAATAAAATCTCACAGAATTCTGTACATGAAATGAGTAACAGATTCTTTAAAACTATCATTTCTAAATATATTTTCTTGTATAGCATGTTTGCTCCAAGCATGCTTTGAAGACTTTAGTTGCCGTCATAGACTAATTAGCAACAATAGCTAATTAATTAGCTTATTAAACTGTAAAAAGTTAGCAGACAAGTTCAAATACGACGTATTCTTCTAGAAAGCTTATATCAAGAGAAATGATATGATTTGCAATAAAACCAAAAGGGAATAAATTTTTTGTTTTAGTCTCCTCATTTTCCATATGCACAAGGTCAAAGTGAATGACAAGATTTACTGATTTAAGTATATATATATAAATATATATAGTCTTAACATATATAGCCAGTGTGGGTCTCATCATGAGCAAAGGTGTAGCTGTCTTTAGTAGCCAGCCCCTTGGAGAAAGTGGATATAAAAGATTACTGTCATTTTAAGAAAAAAAGATAAAAGTTGATGGAAAGAGTATCAAAATGAGAGAACAAGAAAACATAAATAAGAAAGTTACCCTCAAAATTAGAATGAATATAATTGAATTTCAGCTGTCTATTTGAAAAATAAAATTTGAGAAAGGCTCTTAATATTTATTGAAAAGAATCAAAGAATGTACCTTCTTTTAAAAGAACTGGCTTGATTTTTTTTCAAAGAAACCAAATTTTTACCATATTGTAAAAGGTCTTGATTAGCTTTCAAAAATGTTTAAAAAAAAAAAAAAGTCTCTCTTATTTCATTTTTAAAAAGGGTAAATTAGGAAATAAGGAGGAATAGGATAGAAAAATAGAAGAGCAGAAGGGAAGAAGTGTCTGATTCAATCTCTCTACTGACCTCTCGAGAGAAATCAGACTGAAGAGAAGAAAGCACCATTAATATCTTCACCGGCTGAGGTGTCACAGCAGAAGCAGGACTAGTCAGTTTTTATCGACTTGGGGGGTATGAGAAAATACCCAGTAGTGCTGAGGGAATAAGCAAGAGGAAACAGATCATATTTCAATAACAAATGCCACTTAATTTATACATACACACAGTACTTCTCTAACCCTTTTGTGCAAAAGTGTGGATGGATCTAACATTGCTGTGTGTGAATGCACGAGAAAAATATTAAGGCCAAAGTGATGAATTACATACCAGGCAAAGAATGAATGAAGGCCCAGACATCATCGACTGTCCAAATAGATGGCTCTGTTTGTGCAACTGGTAGCAAGTCAGTGTTCTCAGGCATTTTCCGAATTCTCACATCCCGAAGCTCACGTTCTCTTTCCCGCTCACTCTGCCTGCGCAGACGAGTTGTCATAGCAGATGGCACAGAATCTTCATGAGAAGCCAAGTCTTCTTCTGCAGATGGATAAGTAATTGGAAGCTGGAAAATGTAGTACAAGCAAAATACAGCATTGCACTTTCCTTGCATTTCTGAAAAGGGTACTTTACATTGAAGCAAGGTTTGTACAGACCTGCCTAAGGATATGTTCTCTCGCTGCCCCATCAGGGCCACTTGGACGACGGCCACGATGCCCAAGACTTTGATTATCAGGCTTACGATTCCAACGACTAAGTGCAAATTTTTTAGAACAGCTAACATTGTACCTAAAGAAATTCAAGTAAGAAAAAGTATTTAATGATATATGAGACAATCCATTTAGTATATAATTGTGACTTTAAAGTGCAATTGTGACTCAGTAAGTACCATAATACATCGTTAATGAATATAAGACCTTATAAACTATATCGTTTCATGGATTTACTTATGCTAAAGGTCAAAAAACGAGCTCTGTGTATATCATAATATATCTCTCAATATACTACTGGACTTCTACAACAAGGTATTGTATTTTTTTCTGATTACAGGATGACAATGGGAAACTTCCTGCAAAATACAGAGAATAACCAATTTTCATAGCAGCAAAAAAAGTGGAAGGTTCCAAAAGAAAAAGAAGTTATGTAGTAGCTATGTAGATGTTTATTCAAACTGATTTTTCTAAGTAATAACTTCCAAAGACACTAATTTTTAAAAGTTTAGTATGCTAGGGAGAGAATCTCAGCCAGCTAATAAAAGATTTTTCAAATACTACTAAAATCAAAGAATGAAAATGTAAAGTAGAGATTTTAAAGTTACACAAGGAATTCATTGCTTGTGTATTCACTATTCAGAAAATTTAGAAGTACATAACCATTTAATGAAAGATTTTATTTTACCAAAAGAGACTGCCTAATATTTTTGAACATAGACCTTTATAAGACATGATGACAGCTCAGAAGAATCCTACGCCTTTTAATGGACTCTAATGCCCTAGAACAAGGACTGGCAAACTTTTTATACGAAGGACCAGATGGTAAATATTTTAAGTTTAATGGACCATACAAGTTTCTCTCACAACTACCCACCTCTGCCATTGTAGTGTGAAAGCAGCCACTGAAAATATTGGGCTGGACGCAGTGGCTCACACCTGTAATCCCAGCACTTTGGGAGGCCAAGGTGGATGGATTACTTGAGCTCTGGAGTTCAAGACCAGTAAATGGCAAGACCAGTTCAAGACCAACATGGTGAAAACCCGTCTCTACCAAAAATACAAGAACTAGCCAAGTGTGCTGGCACACACCTGTAGTCTCAGCTACTTGAGAAGCTGAGGCAGGAGGATGGCTTGAGCCCTGGAGGCTAAGGTTGCAGTGAGCTGTGATAGCGCCATTGCACTACAGCATAGGTAACAGAGCTAGACCCTGTCTCAAAACAATAAAAATAAATTTAAAAAATTAAAAATAGAAAATATTGAATGAGCACAGTTGTGCTCCAGCAAAACTTTTAGTAACAGTAAAATTTATATTTCGCACAATTTTCATGTATCACAAAATATTATTATGACTTTTTTCCCAAAAAAACTAAAAATTTCAAAATCATCCTTGGGTCATGAGCCTATACAAAAAAATGAACCACAGGAAAGACTTGGCCTGGGTGAGTCTGCCAACCTTTCCCTAGAAAGAAGAGTGAGAAGAAATGATGTAAGAAACAAATTTCTGAAAAGCTATGCAAAGGCTAAGAAAGATATATGCAGTTTCATTTTTACATATACGAAACTGCCTTGGTAACTTCTTATTTTCAAAAATCTGTTTCATAGAGATGGGGGTCTCACTATGTTGCCCAGGTTGGTTTCAAACTCCTGGGCTCAAGCAATTTTCCCACCTCAGCCTCCCAAACTGCTGGAATTACAGGTGTGTGCAACCACATCCACTCTTCAAAATTCTTTTGCTCCAAGGAAGTTGCAAGAATAAATCCCAATTAACTTTGCTACTGATAACTACTCTAGGACCCATATGCTGACACCAAAACAAATTCTCCTCATCAACATTTTATAGATATTAAGAGGTAGAAATAAAAAGTACTATGAGAGGCCGGACATGGTGGCTCATGCCTGTAATCCCAGCACTTTAGGAGGCCAAGGCAAGCAGATCATGAGGTCAGGAGTTCAAGACCAGCGTGGCCAACATGGTGAAACCCCATCTCTACCAAAAATACAAAAATCAGCTGCACATGGTGGCGCGTGCCTGTAATCCCAGCTACTCCGGAGGCTGAGGCAGGAGAATTGCTTGAACCGGGACCCAGGAGGCAGAGGTTGCAGTGAGCTGAGATCGTGCCACTGCACTCCAGCCTGGGCTACAGAGTGAGATTCTGTCTCAAAAAAAA